CTTACTAATTTAAAAGTTATAGCATGAAAACTATAACAAGCACAAAATGGTTATGAGGTCAGTCGCAGGGAATGAGCCCGAGTTGGAAGAGTTAATTTCATAGATTTAATGAAATGAAGGATAGACAAGAGTATAGGATGTGCACAGCATTCTCTGAAATGGCAGTATCTATAAATTGAATTTTTTTAAGTTGAGAATATGACTTCCGAGAGCCTCACCCATTTCTGCATAAATGTTGTAATGCCAACCATTTTTTTTTCTGTTACACAATAAATCATTTATATTTCACGATACATTTTATTTTATAATATACCAATACAAGCAAAAGTGCCTGTCCCCAGTGACACAAAAGTTTAAGCTAATCTATCAATCTAAATTATTTCTTGGACTTTATAAAGGTTAATTGTGTAGCATTCTTGGTTTCACTCGGCCAAAGCTCTGAACTACTTATACCACCCCACCTCAAAAATGATTGTTGAGCATTTCAGTCATGCTAAGAGCTGCTCAACAATAACATATGGAAAATCAACATTTTTATTCTTTAAGGTACGTCATATTTTGAAATGTGAATGATAGTGTGATTAATTCCTAACAATTTAGTGTAGAATATCCTGCTTGCAAAATAGTATTTGTCATCAACATTATTAACACCTGTTCTCCTGTCATTTCAAATGTGACATTATTTACTGTACAGTATACAAGATGATGTATAATCTACTCTACAAAAGAAAACATTTAACCTATAATTTTTATTGATGTTTTGTATGTTAATCATTTATAACCCATGAAAATTTGTGAGAGACAAATGTGCAAAAATTTTTTATACACCTTGATTTAAACGACCATTTGCATGTCCATGCTAATTTTCAATGTCCATACATTTAGTTTAGAGACCCTCCCTAAAAAAAAAAAGCCTTTTGGTTACCTATTAAGTCCTAGTATGAAAATTTTGAAAATCTAAATTTAGATACATATTTTTAAAGTTCCTTTACATGTCTATACTAATTTTCACATTAATTTGTGCACCCATTTTTGAAAACCCCAAAAATTCCTTTGATCTGCATATAGAAGCTAAAATTTTAAAATTATCAAAAATGTAAGTTTAGATTATCTTGGATACTCTTTATATGTTAATATTAGCTTTCAAGTAAACCAGTTAGTTTGGTCAAACCCATGAGCCTCTGAAGCCCCTTGAGCCTTCAATTTTGAGGCTTCTTCACTCTTTCAGTTTTTCAATATTCTTTAAGGGTTAAGAAGTTGTGTGCAACCTTTCAGGTTATTTTGTAAGAATTTGTTGGAGAAGCTCAGACATTAATTAAACATAGATTTGAGTCTTTATTTGGAATATATATATATATATATATATACACACACACACATATATGAATATTTTAGTTGTTTTGATATACTTTCAGTTGATCACATTTGAAATGTTTTTTACCTCCAGTGTGAATCCTTCTTTCCAAGAGTTAAGCCTGCAGCAGATGAAAGTGCTTTTACTCAAGTAAGTAAAGCTTTTAAATTTTATATTACTTGAAGTTTTTTTTTGAAAGGTTAAGTTGCAAAATGATCTATGAAGAGTGTAACACCAGTTGATACATTTGCTTATATAGTACTTGTGTGACCTGAGAATTCCTTTCATTAAAACAAAGTGGAATAGAACATTTTTTTACTGTTTGTTAAAGTAACCTGTTTTCCATTAAAATGATGGTAAGAAATTAGCTGGTATGTTTTTCATGTTTGTTGCAATAAAGTTTACTGTTTGTTTTACCAAAACACATTCTTGCTATATAATAATAATTTTTTTTTTAATTTATATATATACAAATTTATATTTAACAGGCAATTTTGAAAAGAAATCAAGACCTGATTCCATCACCTCAAGAACAAAGTTCTGTTTTAAACTTAGTTACCAAAGTCCAGGCTGTGTTGGATAATTTAGCAGTGGCACCAGGAGCCTTTGATGCCTGTGTAAATTATTTTTATTCACCCTAAGAGATAACTAAATTAATTTTCTTAATATAAATCCACTATTAACTCTGATAATTTATATAAACACCAAACATTCATGTCCATTTGAAAAACTTGGAATACTTTTGACTGGTTTTAACCATATGAATATAAGATCAGTCAGTTTTACCAACCTTAATGTGCATGTCATGACCTTCTTACAGAATTACATTCAGAGTTTAAATAACTTTGTACATAATGTTTGTCACTAACCTTGACAACAAAATGTAACTTATAATTCAAATTTTAATGTTATCTAAGTTTTAATTTATTAATTTCAAAAGGAAATATATAAAAAAACCTCAATCTTCATTCTTCTGTCATGTGACGTGTCTGCCCTTTGATTTCTCATATTTAGATTTTATAAATTCATCAATATAGCTTCTATACTGCCTAACCAACTAGAAACACAAACTATGCATATTAACAAGGAAAAATAAAATTTGGATCTCTTACCTTCTTTATATGCTGAGATAATAAGTTTGTAAAACCCACCAGAAAAGCTCCTCCCATCTTTTCATGCATTTCAAGCTAATTATTCACCCTCACCTACTGTTCTGAAGGACATTTTTATAAACAACAAAAAGAACATATTGTAATAAACAGGAGTCTTAAGTTAATTTGTTTAGTCTTGCCAGTCAAATGTAGTAGTTTGCAAGAAAATCTTGAAGAGTGTAAAGTTAGAAAGCCAGATAGATTTACAGTACTTTTGGGACATTCTCTTCTAGTGCCTGAGGTATTTTTAATGTTCACCACTTGCATATTTCAAAATTGTATGAATTATCTTTTGGACAACCAATTGTGAAAAAAGTTTGAATAATGAAACAGTGCATGCAAGTACAACAGCCTTAATCTGAAGTACTGCTTTTTGTTTTTTATGTATATTTATTATTTATTGTTATATATTTTGTAACAGAAGTAACTAAAATGTAAAAACTAGAAACTTCTTACGTTAGTTGACAAAACTTTATAACATCATAAGTAGTAGAGATAATGATTTCTACTACTTATGCTATGAAGTTTTCTATATAATTTTTATTTACCGTTCTATGTTTTAAGAAAATAAGAATTTATTTGTCAATAGTAATAATATGTATACATATGTAATGTATGATACTTCAAATGCCACTGTATTTTACAAAATATTTGTATGCTCGTACTAAAAGTTTGTAATACTAATAAGAGTAAGACATTTTTACTTTGTATAGGCCAATTGTATTCCATTTCATATGGTAATATGAGTTGCACATGCTTCCCATGATTTGCAACTTGTGTGGCAGGATTATTAAAAAAAAAGTTAGTTAAAAGTCAATAAAACAAAACAATTAATAAATATAAATAGATGTATACTGTTACAAGATCTAAGTTATTTAGAATAAACGATTTTAGTTTCCTGTTACAATTTGTAGTCAGTCTAGAAAGGAAAAAAGGTAACTTAGATTTATTTCCTGATATTTTATAGTGGTTACAAGGTCAGTCAATTCGACTAACACTGTATAGAGGTAGGGTAGAGAAAATATCATATAAAATTTTTCTAAAAAAGTCTTGTATTCATTTAGGAAGTTATACACATTATGCAAATGAAATTTGACAATTTTCAGGTGAAGAAAAGTATTTTCAATATCAAAATCAAAATAACTGCATGTTGGACAGTCAACATTCCAAAGGCAAATTTATGAGCAGGTCTTTAATTAAAAAATCCAATATTTTGTGTGCAAAAGCTTTGTAATGTTTACTGATAGTCTGTGAAATTTCATGAAGATACGGTCAAACTATCAAAAGTTATAATGTGACTAATCTCATGGTTACTTTGATGGTTACATAGTAGGTGCAATGCACCTAATCAGAGAGTTAATTGTGGATCCATGACTTTGTTGGTTACAGATTATATGATAACATATGTTCACTTAAAAGAATTTAAACAAAAAATACCATAAGATTGTAATTAACCCCACTAGTAACTATGTGTAGTCCTTTATGTATTTTATGTAAAAAATTAGCAATTTTATCAGAGTTTTACTGGTCAGTTTTTTTACGTTGAATGTGATAACTAGTAAAAACATAAAATTATGTAATATGATGCAAGTAATGAACTATATGAAAATAACTAATTTGAAGGTTAAACAATATTTTATGTGCGTGTATTTGGTTATTTTTGTGTTAATTTCTATTATACGAGTATGCTTTATGCTCATTCAAGGAGATGGATACTTTTATTTTTTAATAACTGCTTTAGTTTGTTTTTCAGTCTTAAGTTCTTCAAAAGCTTTATGATGTTTTATTCATAGCAAATTGAAGAAGTCCGTCAAGTTGGGTCTTTCAAAAAAGGTACAATGATGGCAGGGCAGAATGTTGCTGACATTGTAGTTATACTAAAGACCTTACCAACAGGTAAAGTGGTCAACCAAAAAAAGGCCTAATCGTTCAGAACATTTTTATATTGCTGCATTCATGATACTTTATTAATTGGGAGAAATACTTAATAATCAAATAATTGTTGAATCACAAGTTTTTTCTCTTCAGTGTAAATTATAAAATATACTAATTCCCACATCTAGAAATTTTCAAGGCAGTGAAAACATAAGGCAGAACTTAAAATTTGACCTTATTGCATTATTCTTAGTTTATCTATGTAGAAGAAGTTCATGCAATGTTAAAAATTAAAATTTGAGATTGTTTTTTTATTTGTGAATTTTTTTAAGTGGATTGTATTATTCCAGTTTGTATTTTCTTTTTTCTGGAACTTCAAATTGATGTATAAGTTTAAGTCTTTTTTTTTCATAATTATTGTTTGTAAG